AGTTAACCGAAATCTGGTATCGCTTTTGGCATATTAGATGTCATTCACACAACAGTGGTTTTCCTTTGGTGCGCGATCAAACCACACTGGAGATCAGTAAATCTTAGCAGGTTGATAGTTTTTTGAGTACAAATGTTCTTTGCTTGTTCTTCTGTCAATGCGCTCTCGCAAATGAAATGTTCTTATTTATTGAAGCTTCTTATCCTTTGTTGGTTTTACTTCCTTGGTCTTCTGGTTGCAACACACGGTTACATATTGTACGTTAGATATTAAGTAGGTTCCCATGATGTCTCCCGTCCGATTGTTTGTTTGCGTGAGATGTCACTGCGTGACGCGAATCAGGTGACACACGCTTTGGGCTTCATCGCTCGTTAATGGCCGGTCCCTGAACTCTCTCTTCCGCGTAACTACATAGTGTGTCGTACACTCTGCTGGAGACACTAGTTGATAATGTTAACTTCCGCTGATCTGTCATTTTCTACACCGTGACTTAAATCAACTTTACCTGAATGGCCTTATATTGTTCGCGCTGTTGCTTTAGAAGCTTCCAAACGTCTTCAAATTTTAGGAATGTGGTGTTATTGATGGTTTATCATAGACTGTCGCCAGTCGTTGTGTCATGACCAACCGCGTGGAATCAGCACATTGAACTTGAGAGCTTGTACTCGCTTATGCCATTCACTGGAGGAACAAATCAAAATGGGCTAGTTGGAAAGTCCCTGGGAATAGAAAACTGCGATCACTTGTGAGTGGAATTCAAATTATATAAAAGTGTATAACGTGTACACTAGAAATGCGACCAGTCTGACAATCAACCGATCGGAGAGCATAAACCTAGTGATCCGTTATGGTCAGATTGTCATTGGCGTGCTATGAATCACTGTTTTACTTGCAACGCATTGATAGAGTAGAGCGTCGTTCAGCCACATGAATTGCTTGTGTAAATACCTAAAACGCCTGTGACCACTTCAGAATATCAAGCTGTCGCTCACTGTAAAAAATCGGAACAGTGGTTGATACTGAACCAGCGAACCCGAAAGCCTAATGTAGTTGTTTCTAACGGAACTCCCGATTGAATCATAATACAATTGTGAAGATCAATTGTGTGCTGATTCTTCATCAGATCGATGCAGTTACATAACGTCCGGGAATTTATAGCGGTATTTAAAAAACTGACAACTTTTAGATAAAATGCCGTTGGTTCATTTCGTGCATCATCAACTTCCAAACATGCACCACCCAAATTTAGGGCCATCAGTTTTGGTAGAGTGGTTCAGAAATGCGCCCAGCTGTACTCGGTTTTTGCTGTGAATAAAAAAACAAACCGGGTGATTTATAGTAAGAACAAGTGTTGAGTGACAATACTATGCCGAGAGTGTACAGTTGCTTATGGCTATACGGAGAAACTACATATTGTAAGCGTGGATGCACGGATATGTTATCGAGAGACAAAATGAAGTCAGGCTGAAAGTACTTTACCTTCTGTTTAATGTCACAGCTGTGAAAACCAGTGTTCGCCTTCGGGGGAGTGCCGTAGTTGAATTTTCTATTCATAGTGTGCAACCAGAAAAAGCGCACTGTGCTTCGTTGCCGAAACAGGACCAACTTCAATGGTTGTTCTCAAAAAGTATCACAGTTTGCATGTCACGGTGGGAATATTTGGTCTAAATGGTCATGCATTCTGTTTGCTAGCAGATTAATCAATAACTTTGCAGTTTTACTGCTTAATGACCTACAGGCTAATGGTAGAATGGCCAAGATCGTTCAAAAAAAGTTGTGATGGAAGACTACGCGAATGTCCCTGAACCACCCCATATACTGTTATTCTCCGCATGTGCACACCTGTCTTTTGTGATGCTTAGTATCACTACCGCTATTTACATACTCAGTAGAACTTCAGTAATTTGAGTATTCATTGCATCATGCTACGATGACACTGAAAGACTCATAATGACAAATAAGCCCCGTCACAAGTTTAATTTAGTGCAGTTTTAACACCTGTTTCGTTTTAAGTAAGTAAACTTTTATATTACTAATAAGTAGTTTCGTAGATTTATGATTTTAGATGAGACTCAACTGTGATAAGTCAGGGCTTCTGCTGGATTCGAACCAGCAATAGAAATCTGCTGAAATACTTACTTGTGATGCAATTCCTATGCCCAACAGTACCGTCAGTGGATTCCAGCGTGAACTGGTTGAGAAATCCTGCCGGGGTAATCGATCCCCGGGATCATTTGGTGGATTCCATATGAAACAGTTGGACGGGTGTGTAACAGAGTCCGAATGTGAAATTTCCGAGCTCCCAATGTGGCTTTGTACTTCAGCTGGTAGAGCGCTTGCCGCGTTAAGGCATGGCGTTTCTGTCGCTGGTTTTAATCCAGCCGAAGCCCTGACGTTTCACAGTTGGGTCTCATCTGAACTTTTATAGTTTGAAAACATGCATTTCAAGGTTTCCGTCGTTATTAAGTTATCGTTCTTGCCTCTAGTGTAGTGAGGATGAGCGATTGCACTGTGCTACTCATACTGGTTGGTGGCATTCGAAACAGATTAGCCTTTCACAGTGACCGAAACCAAAGGACGCCTGCGCTTTGAAACATCACCTCAAGTGGCTTGCGCTGTACCACTTGCAGTCCCACTCACACATCACGTGTCCGGTGTAAACCCGAAGGAAAAAGACCAGTAGGTGTGTGAGTGCGACCTTTGTATTTAGCCGGCCAATGCTGGTTGGCTAACCGAATGGCTAGCACGAGAAGGAAATCCTTATATCTCGGAAAATAAACACACAGAGAGACCGTAATTACAAGACCTATACTAGGAAGAAAGATATGTAAAATTTAATACAAGAAGCATTTCAGTATACAACTGCATGTTAACGCATTCTAGAGAGGATAACGTTGAAAAACAAAACTCAAAGTTGAACTACGAAAAGACCAGACAAACGATTCATCCTTCAATACACCAACAAAGCTCAAGAAAAGAATGGATAGAAGACTACAGACGCTCGAGTTCCTGAAAAGAGGAACGGATTAGTTGCCCAACGACCATGGTCTTAGTCAATGCAATAATTAACAAAAGTAGAATGGATATACTGATACGACCTACCTGGGCCGAACGTACTCGTTGTCTCTTCGCCGATGGTGCACTATGAGTTTGCTGGTGACCTACTAATCTCAAACGACCAGCGCACACATCGCAACGCCATATAGTCATGTCACCACGACCTATGGCAACGATGGTTCCCTTACGTACCGCACGGTTTCGTTCTCGGTCGCGCAATAACTGCTCGTGGGCGCCCGTCCGAATCGTATTCCTCCAGGCAGTCCGGTTCAACGCTAATTCTTTCCAACATCTAAAATCAATTTTACAACGTGAAAGACTTACCTGCACAGCATCCTGGTATCTCAGCTTCTGACCACCAGGATTTCGCTTACCTGATCTCAGTTGTCCATACAGCACCTGCTTCGGGATACGGTCATCGCCCATCCGACGGACGTGACCCAGCCAGCGAAGCTGATTCAACATCAGCGAGGCTTCCATCCCGTTCATGTCCGCTCGCCGAAGTACCTCAGTGTTCGGAACCATGGCCGAATACCCAAGATGCGTCTTAGACATTGCAAATGAAAGTGGCTCAAATAGCGCACGTTCCGCCGATACAATGTCCACGTTTCACTGCCATACAGCAGTATAGACAGCACCATTGAGCGGTAGACGAAGAGCTTAGTGCTCGGCTTCAGGCTGTGGTTCCTCCAGACACGCCTTTCAGGACGTCCGAAAGCAGTACTAGTCTTTGCCACACGAGCTTCCAACTCACGGTCCACGGACAGATCGGTAAGCAGATTGCTACCCAGGTAGCAGAAATCTGTGTAGGTATTGACAACATCTCCATTAACACGAATTTGAGGTGAAGGTGCACAGCTAGCACCTCCGCCCGGAGAAGGCTGAAAGAAAGAAAATGTCTTACCTGTGTTGATGTCCCGTCAAAACTTGGATGCCGCGGTCGCGAAGGCCGTGGCCAGTTGCTGTAGTTCGTCCTCGCTGTGTGCAAACGGCGCGCTGTCATCTGCGCACAGAAGACTGCGCATCATTAAGGTATGTAGCCGGGATGGGGCGCCGAATGTTCAGTAGGCGTCCATCTGTCCGATACTCAACCTCAACACCGTCCTCCTCAGAGTCCTGAAAAGCAACTGTTAGCATGGCAGTCAAATATAAACTAAATAGAGATGAGGCCAGGACACAACCCTGCTTCATGCCAGTGACAATGTCAAAATCATCAGAGGTTGATCCACACGATTGCATCTTCGCCCTCATGCCCAAATGTAACAATCTAATCAAATTGACGAACTTACCTGAACATCCAAACTTACCAAGCACCGTCCACAGCACCTCGCGGTTCACGGAATCGAATGCCTTGGTGAAGTCGACGAAGAGGGCATACAGGGGCTGGTTGCGTTCCCGGCACTACTCATGAAGCTGTCGAGCAGCGAACACCAGTTCGATCGCATTCCGATTCGCCCGGAATCCATATTACTCCTCAAGATCATCCGTATTCAGTCTTTTCACAAGGATTCTTTCAAGCACCTTGCCTGCACAGCTCAGCAGACTTATGCCCCGATAGTTGTCGGGACATTACTTGCGACCCTTATTTTTAAACAAAGGTACTATCACAGCATTTTTGAAATCTTATGGCATCACCTCGTGCTCTCAAATGGAGTGAACCATCTGAAGCAGTGCACTTTCCATCGCCGGCTCGCCGTTCTTAAGGATTTCGCCTACAGCCTTTCCGGTTGCGAAGTTGACTAACCGTTCTCTGCAATTCTAGTAAATCAGGAGCGAGAGCAAGTAAGGGCTTGATGGCCTGTTGTGGCAGGCCATTCACGGCCACCCAATCAATGGTAGCAGGACGATATAGTAAGCTACGAAAGTGTTTGTGCCAGATCCTCATGATGTCCTTTGGCTGGGTGCACAAACAGCCGGTGTCCATGTCTACCAGTGTTTTAGTAGACTGGGTTGACGGACAGAAGATCGCTGTAAGAAAATCATAGAACTCTTTATGCTGTCCACGATCTGCGAAGCCCTGCTTTATACAACAGTTGTCCTTGATTCCCCGAACACGCTCGGCAAGTTGACGGCGGATACTTCGCAACGCCGATTTCTTCGCTCCATTGCCCGGGTGAAAAGTGGAAACAGCAAACGCGGTATTCTTCTCTCGTACCATTGGGGATGAGCGATCGTAATATACTACTCACCCGACTGCTATTCAGTAGTGGGATCAGAGCATGCATCTTGACATCGAAATAGCCGCGGGGAAATACAAAAAGAAACATCGGAATGCAGCTTCGCACAAAATGGTCCTTGCTACGTAAAGAACTGAGTGTTAACGTCTGTAGCAACCCTGACGGTCTGGGCCGAGTACCGTATGCAAGTGTTTTTGTTTGTTGTCCTGTTTAAGCGCTTAACCTATGTGTTGCTTTCACAAATAAACGATCATTGTGCCATCCGCGTTCTTGGCTCACAGCAATTGGTTCCGTGACTAGGATAGAAGGATGAGGATCCGGTGACCACTGCCGTCCGAGGATGGGGACTTCCGGAGCTTCCTGGAGGACTTCGAGGACGTGGCGGAGACGGTCGGAGTCAAGACCGACCGGGAGAAGCTGGTGGCCCTGCGAATGCTGCTCAAGGGCAGAGCAAAGGTGGTGCTGGATGCGGCGTGAAGGGGCCGTGCGAAGCTGGAGCGGGCCGCCACGAAGGAGGCGCTGATCGCGGGGTTTTGTAGCCTCACCGACTGCCAGGAGGTAATGCGGCAGTTCAAGGGAGCCCGATTTGGACCATGAGGTGACCCTCTGATGTATGCCGTGTCGCTGCGGGCACCGTTGTCAAGAGCCCTTCCACATTTGGACCAGGATTCGGACCAACGTATGCTGACAGATCAGTTCTTGAAGGGAATGCCACCAACAGCCGGAGATCAGCTCAGGGTGGCTCTCATCGCACATCCGATGACGTTGGAACAGCTAGCTGAAGCGGCTCGACAATTACTGGCAGATAACTCCCCGATAGTCAACGAGTTGAAGACCAGTGAACCAAGTGAAGTGAATGACCTGCGAACCGCAGTGGAAAAGTTGACTCAAGAAGTGTCCGCTTTGAAGATGAGGAGGGAGCAGAACCATGGCGACGTCTGTTACAGATGCGGAAGACGTGGATACTGGCAAAGATTTTGCCCGCCCGGCGAGAAAAGGTTTCATGTAAATAAACGTTTTGCTGATTGTTTCTTGTCTGGGAAGGGTGATCCGGTAATAGGGGCGGTTGATAAGACGGTAATTCAGGCTAGGATAGAAATCAATGGTAGCTCGGAGTGCTGTTTGATTGACACTGGGGCGGCGATTTTATTGAGTGGGCCGAGACCGAAAGAAACTGTTCAGCCGTATGCGATGGTCGTTACAACGGTCGGTGGGTTTACACTCAGAGTTACGGGCGTTGCGGAGTATGATGTAGGAATCGATGATCACGTAGTCAAGCAACCGTTCGTCATTTCCTCTGACACACGCCAGACTATATTGGGAGCGGATTTTCTTGACCGCGCTAAGGCTGTGATTGATGTGAAGCATGATAGATTCGTAACGAAATATGGAGTGGTTCCATTATCGTGGAAACGCAAAGCTCAGCTTGGACAAATTGAAGCGAACGCACCCGGAGCAATACCAGTCTGCGACAATCGGTTGCTGAATGAAGTGATATGCAAATTCCGAAAGTTGTTCACCTCGGATCAAGACCCATATGGCTATTGTGGCTGGATTGAACATGAAATCTCCACTGAACCAGCGCGGTTTCGACCATTCGGCCCCAGAAGAACTCCGGTTCACCTGCAGCCGGAAATCGAACAACAAATGAAAGACATGCTGAAGGATGGAATCATTGAGGAGGCTGATTGCCCGTTCAATTCTCCAGTTCTGTTGGTGAGGAAGCCCAATGGTGAATTTCGATTTTGTGTTGACTTCAGAAGACTCAACGAGATTACAGTCAATAAAGTCGTAGCAATGCCAGCCGTGGCAGAAATTTTCGACAAGCTACAGAATTTCAAGATATTTACAGTGCTAGATCTGGGGTCTGGATATTGTCAGGTTGCAATCAAGAAATCGAAGATAAATAATATCGCTTCAAGCATATGCCGGTTGGACTATCAGCTGCCCCGTTCACTTTCAGACGACTGATGTTGAAGGTGCTGGAAGGACTGAACAATACCGTTGTCTACGGAGACGATATCGTCATCTACAGCGCGAATAAAACGGAGCATACGGCACACGTTTCAGCTGTGTTGCAGAAGACCGAACAAGCCGGCCTACGAATCAACAGTTTAAAGTGTAAACTAGCGAAACAAACGATAGTACTACTCGGT